CGGACCATTTTTTCCAAGAGTGTGTCTCTAATGCGAGGTGAAAGAAAAATAGCGTGCCAAAAATTGACCTCTAACTTCCGAAAATCAAAAATACATGTGGATTAATGGAACTCGGTGTACTCGTACAGAGATGACAACTTATCAAATATATAGGCCTATATTGAGGCGGTCATTGGGTTAAAACTGAAACTTAAAATATGAGAATAAAATGTCTTTGAGGACAATACATATTTTCCTTTAAATAAACTTGAAGGACTAATAATAACTTACAGACAAATTTAAAATCACCATTGATAAGAGCTGTATTCAAGCAAGCTGGATTAAATATAAAATCGCGTCGTTATTTTCGTTTTCACGCGAGAGTGCGTGATGTGAAAACAAACGTGATCGAACAAGCAAACTTAGATACGAAAATGCCGGATGTGAAAGATCGTAAATGAAATTCGTTTTCACCCGTCTCCGCATGACTTCTCATCATATTTTCTTGTAAAAGCCAAGATGTAATTCCAACATGAATATTTCTTGGGGTGATTACGGTTAGTAATCATTTTTTCAACAAGGGCAACCCAGTGTTAAATGCCCATAAGCGGATCACGCGATGGGTCCGGAAGCTCAGAGACAAAATGGCGTACTTTCAGGCTCGCTCTGTTCTTGTATTGGAGTAGAAGACCTACTCGACCACGAGTAACACAATGGTAAGAAACTAATGAGTGGAAGTGACTTGATTTGTCCATCCTAGGCCCTTCCAGAAACCACGATGCCAATGCTAGACCGGAATCTCCTCTTCTAGCAACCAAGTTACGGCGCCACAGATCGAGTAGATGGTGTCCACGGGATTGTGGCTGTTAGTGCAGCTTTCGCTATGATCTGCTGTGCATGATGACGCGATGTGCTGGCAGAATGAATTCGACTCCAGCGCTTGAAACAGGCAATTGCCAGCACCATGTCATCCTGCTCTTATTACGGGGTGAGACCCCCCCCCCGAAAAAACCACGAATTTACCTTTTTCCTATATATATGACTTTTAACCGAGACATTTAAAAACCTGAAGATGAAGAAAATACTGACACCAGGTGAGATGAATAAATGTTACTGTGTGAGGATTTGGTGAATAACGAAACATATGCAGAGTATCATGTGTTTATCTTAATATTCTACAGTATGCGAGCGCCTTAAATTTTGCGTTAGTATAGTTGATACATTACTATTATTATTCTCACAAAGATTAAGTGTGCAATTAAGGTGCACATCATATCGTGTTAAGTACACATTGATCGCACAATAGTTTTTCGTCGACATGACCCCGACGATTTAAAGGGAATGTACAACATTTGCTTTTGCTGAAATTTTGAGAATTAAATCATGATTTGGAGGATAAGAATGTTATAGGAAATATTATTAAAGGGAAAATACAACATTTGCAAGCATCGAAAAATAAAACTACCAAGTGTTTACAAAATACCTTACTAGGATGCTGGTAAATGACAGTGTAAAGCATCCTGTAAAATTAGGGCACCTGGTGTGAAGTCATTTTCAAGAAAGTTGTATTTTTGTATACATTTCCAACGGTGGTCGGCCGACCACCGTTGGAAAAACCTAACTATTTTTCAACTACTGCTCCAAATTTACCATTTGTTCAGTCCAAATTTTGTTTGCTATTGGTTACATGTTCCTGAACGGGTGCAGGCCAGCTAGACTGGTTCCCTTACCTTACAATTTTCCGGCATCTATAAATTGATCCACTTCATCTTCAGTGGAGTCAGGGAGCCAGACTACTTGAACATTTGTCTTTTTTCTTGGTTTTCCAGCATTTTCGAACACAAAACTTCACACATGTCAGTGTAACAACATTTGATCTATTATACTAACCCCTCAAATAGTTCATTTCTGAAAATTACAGCAAAAGCCAATGATGTACACTCCCTTTAACTGACTTGTTTCACGTTTTCGGCTTGTAGATGCTGGGGAATCCAAGGAAACCAATCATGTTCTTGTAGTCTGGTTCCCTGACCTCAAAATGAAACGGATATCGAGCAATTTATAGACTTTGGGAATTGTAAGGTTACGTCAGAGAATCAGTCTGACAGGCATAATAATAATAAATAAGAAAAATAATAAATAAAAGAGAAATCCTCATAAATTGGATACAAAATTAAACGGTAAAAGGAAAAAAAGCCAAACTATTACAGAATTTAATTAAAGGGAAGGGAGGGTGGGAAGAAAATTGTTGAAGACAGTGCTGCTGCGGCTTGAATCAGAATGAAGTTGATCGCAGTTGCCTTCACAATATAAACCCATTTCATGACACATAGAGACAATACTAATCATTTAACTGGTTGCTATGCAAAACTATCTGATTCCATGACTCATGAGGGAGAGTACTTGGAAACAGGATGTGGGGGAACTTCCATGTGGGGGCCATTGACCAACACTGACCAAAGTGACCATGAATTGTGGTAAGTGTTGTTTGTGCATCAAATGTATATTGTCTCTTGTAGTTCAATAAAACAAAAATCATCCTTGATTTTTTCCGAAAAAAGTTTGAATCTCATTAATAATAACGGGTTCTTAAATATAGCGCTTTTATAACTACGATCATGCAAAGCTAGCGCTTTACATTATTATTACCCCTGATCATCACTGGCCCAATAACAAAAATGATTCCAAATACCATTGCAACTCTCTGGGGAGCATATAGACCTCGATGCAGCTATTTCGGAGCAAGGGAGCTAAAGTCAACCACAGTAACCACCTCTGACCTCACAGTTACACATTTACTCCACTATGATTGGGGAGAAGTGCCTTGTTCAAGGGCACGCGTGCCACAACTCGAGACTGGACTCGAACCCACAACCTGCAGAATTACCCGCAGACCACGAACTCAATGCCCCAGACCACAACGCCATGGCGTTCAAACGCAATTGTAAAATTTGTTGAGTATTAATACACTCTAGAAAAGAGTTTTTAACCCCCCCCCCATAAAAAAATACCATGCTGCGCCACTATGTCTATCTTTGCTCTGCATTTCAGCTTTCGCGCAGGTGTAATTATAGTACACGCATGAGTACAACCATGTGCTCAGTCCGACTAAAAAGAGCAAACTACAAAGTCTTCATGTGATAACACTATCATAACACTGTTATAGTTACATAATAGTCCTGGCATGTAATTGTATGTGTATCCATATCTTTGCTCTGCATTTCAGCTTTCGCGCAGGTGTAATTATAGTACACGCATGAGTACAACCATGTGCTCAGTCCGACTAAAAAGAGCAAACTACAAAGTCTTCATGTGATAACACTATCATAACACTGTTATAATTACATAATAGTCCTGGATCAAAATTTAATGAGAGCCACAGAAGTCACGAGCTACAGTCCTCCGCACGGCTTCCGCCCAGTTTTTGTTTTTTGAAAACCCTCAAAATGCTCAGTATAAAACCGGAGAATTTTAGAGCAATGCAAATTGTGACTTGGCAGGGCCTATGACATACAGACCTTTCTTTTGTTTGTAAACATTGGCGCCATTTTATATGGGCTGCCTCAAGCGCATAAATAGAAGCCGTGGTTGGCAACATATTTTCCCCCAAAAATTCCCCATAAAGCCCGGTTCATACTTCACGCGAATGCGAATGCGAAGCGAATTTGACGTCATGAAACATTCGCTGCGAAATTCGCCCGAGTTGAAATGTGTTCAACTTTTGCGAATTCGCAGCACGAATACTTGCCATGACGTCACAGATTCGCGTTCGCTTTCGCTTTCGCATGAAGTATGAACCGGGCTTAACGCCCTCAATACAAAGTAAAAAGGCATGTTAAGGAATAATATTGAACTTGTTCAGTGTAGCTTTGTTGAAAATGTTGTATTGCCAACAATTAATAATATGTTGGTTATCTGTAATAACGCTCTTCATTTTTGCAGAGTACGACCTTCCATAGTTTTGCAACCCGTGGTTGGTAAAAATGAGTTGCCAACCAAGCGTGGCTAGCTGCACCCCGCCAGTTAGCGTTTAACGCTTGCGTAAGGGTTATCTCGCGGCACGGTCACTATATGAATTCCTTTGGGGAACTAACCCACCGGGCCAGTTTTTATGTGCAACCTCTATGAGAGAACGCGGCGAAAAAATCATTAAAAACGGGCCTTTTTTCACATCTGTCGCCACCACTTCATTATTCGACAGGGTATACCTTAGATCTCACTAAGTGTGACCCTAACAATATACTCTTTCAGAAAATGAAAGAAAAACTGAATAAAACACTGAGTTTCACTCGCTAATTGATGTTAAACATTGCATTTTCAGTCAAAAATCTCCCTGTTTTGTGTGTAAACCACGCGTTCAGCCAAGAACTGGTCCATTAACATCATCATAACGTTAAATAGCGCCACCTGGGAGCTTAGACCTCTCGAGTCATTTTTCTTCGTCTCGTCAGCTTTCCAACAATATAACCCTTATTGTGATTGGTTAAGGTTTAGGCTCGCGTGCATTCATTAACTAAAGAATTGTACATCTAAACTCCAATAAAATTTGCCGTTGCTCAATGGCTCAGCGCGTAGGGTCTGTTTATTGTACAGATAATCTGCATCGATCGTCATCGAGTAGCCCACATAGGCAGAATTTCACCCAACTGAAATTGACTCACTGCATGCAGCTGCCGTCAGAAGACCTATAGTTGGAACAGGACGCCGTCAGAAGACCTATACTATAGTTGGAACAGTGGTGAAATCCAGCAAGGTGAGTTTAAGCGTGTTTTGGTTGCCTTTAGGTCGGTTAATAGGATCATGGAGGAAGAAAATAGTAGGATCTGCTTTCACAGAGATTGATATGTGAATGATTTCATTGTTTGTTTGCTTGCGGGTCATATCAGTCCCGTGCTCATAGACTCGAACGCTCGAACAGAGCATGGAGCTATGTAACCTATTTAGCATATTACATAAGATCTATTGTCGTTCCAGTGTCATGTTTCAGTGACTGTGAAACTTTACAGCCTGTAGCATGTAGCCAAAAGCTGCCGCCATGCATGAAGACAAGGAATAAAGGGATATACCTGGGATCAAAAAGTTGTTTCCCAAAATGTCTTCTTTTGTTGAAAGTGTTTTTTGTTTCCTGCAGTGTTTTGTACTTTAATATGTTGGCCATGTGGTTGCGAAGGCCGATTTGTAAAGGTTACGTTATAATCGTGCACACGGACATGTTGATGTTCGTGGGCGAAATCTTTATAAATCAATCGTTTTGATGACCGTATCTTCATGCGTGCGGCTTGATTACAATTAGCACCCAACAGTTCGATTTTTCGGGGACAAAATTGTGACCCCCTTGCATGGTTCTCGCAAGAATAACACACAAACGCCCAGTGTTTAAAGGATGGTTGTGTGGACGTATATACTCTTCTTTTAAATGCTCTAAATTCTATTTAATATCATTTCGTTTTAAATGCGTTTTGTAGCCCAATTGGGCGCATTCCAGGCCGAAATGTTCCTTTAAATCGACAGGCTGCACAAAAATCAAGGTCTAGACTATGATTTAGCTGTATAAATATTTGACTTGGTAAGGTTGTGGAAATGTTATCGTTAGGCTCATTACGTATTGATTCTGTGCTGAACGTCAGAGTACGTACCACTTTGCAGCGCAGGGTTGTATGATCCAGGGAATTCGGTGGATGAAACATTTTAAAAATTGGATGGCATATGTAGCTATTTACCATTATACCTTATTGATTCGCACATCTTTTCAGCAATCATGCCTCTCCTTCGAGGCCGAAAGCTGCACTTCTTGCATCGGGGCAGTTCCGCAGATCGAGTAGATAGTGTACACGGGATTGTGATCGTTTGCACGGTGTTCACCGCTCACCTTCTGTGCAGCATGATGACGAGATGTGCTGGTGTCCTGTACCTCAGCTGGAAGAATGAATTCGGCTCCAGTGCCTCACAGACAGGGGCCATTGCTAGCATCATGTCATCCTTCTCTTACTTTGCGGGTAAGCAATCCAAAGCCCTCATTCATTTTGTAATACTGAAAATGTATTTGGTGCGGATGTAATATTTTCCGAAATTATTTTACTTGACGAAACGATAATCATCTGGGACAAGGCCTATCCTATTTTCAAATGTCGTTGGTTTATACCCTTAAGGCCCCGTGGATTAATTCCGATTTGCGTGCGCCCCCGTGCGCACGCGTGCTCATGCGTGCTACCCACTGATCTCTATATAAAGACTGGATAGCGGATATGCATACAACATTCACACAGTAGACTTTGCATATTGACCAATTCGGCCCCGGTCCACTGATCTCTATAAAAAGACTGGATAGCGGATATGCATACAACATTCACACAGTAGACTTTGCATATTGACCAATTCGCCCCCGGTCTCACGAAGATGGCCGCGCATAATACGAACGTTCTACGCGTAAATACGCGCGCGTTGTAACAACAGTTGACGCGCATTTTGGTCACGTACACATATTATGATGTTCTAAAAGGGACACATTTCCGTAGTGATTGTTATTTCAAAAACGCCGAAAAAGTGATTTGCGGCATTATAAAGTAACCACAACGTAGTAAACCTTGGTCAGTTGGTCAGTGGTGGTGGTCTAAATATAAGTCAGGTGAACCGCGACGTTACAAAAGAAATCATGCTGTCTATAAAGACGGCAACTTGTCCTTTGTAGATCACCAGCCGGTCTCACCAATATGGCGTCAAATTCGTACATTGTGTGGCTCTTATTAGCTATCCAGTCTTTATATAGAGATCAGTGCCCCGGTCTCACGAAGATGGCCGCGTATAATACGAACGTTCTACGCGTAAATACGCGCGCGTTGTATCAACAGTTGACGCGCATTTTGGTCACGTACACATATTATGATGTTCTAAAAGGGACACATTTCCGTAGTGATTATTATTTCAAAACGCCGAAAAAGTTATATTTGCGGCATTTTAGTAACCACGACGTTAGAAAAATTGTAGTTAATCTTGGTCAGTGATGGTGGTCAAAATATAAGTCAAGTGAACCGCGACGTTACAAAAGAAATCATGCTGTCTATAAAAACGACAACTTGTCCTTTGTAGATCACCAGCCGGTCTCACCAATATGGCGTCAAATTCGTACATTGTGCGGCTCTTTATTAGCTATCCAGTCTTTATATAGAGATCAGTGGTGCTACCCCGTGCTGCACGCCCATTGAGAGTCAAGTTGATTTTTTTGTTGCAATGGCGATCGGTATTTTATTTGCTGTAGGCCCATGCATGCACAATTGAAGTTGAATGTTTTGTTCGTTTCATTGTAACTGTTGTATCCATTTTCTCATTGACATAAAAAAAATGTTATGTGCTCTCAAATTTGATTTGTGAATTTCAAATTGTGTGGCAAAATATGAAATTTTTAGGGCACTTAGTGCTATTAATAAGCATATTAGTGAAGTTTTGCTTTTGGTCCCCAAAAAGTGAAGTGATGCACCATATTCCACGAAACTTGATTTTCCAACAACTTCTAGAGCCAAATATGAAAAGATTCCCATATCTGGCCATCAGTAATTTTTCCCTTAAATGACCTATCAGCCATCAAAAAGTGATACTATATATGTCCTAAAAAATCTAAATTTGCAGGGACAAGTTTTGAATTGAGAAAACACTTAGAAATTTTCAGACCTGCAGTCCCGTAGGGTTTGTGCACAGGGTGCCAATTGATTACCAGATATAGGAATCTTTCCGGCCATTTAGTTAATCCGGTGTTTATCACCTCCCGCCCCGATTTCCAAGCAGCCCTGATTTTTTTTGGCACAATTGCAGAATACCCCGCCACTCAATCTACCAAAAGTATAGTTCCGATCCCGCCCAGCACAACGCAGCACACGGAATATGTGTCCACGCATTATCCCTGTTTATAAAAACCACCACCGCGTGTCAGACAACGTCTGGCAATGGCCGATCCCGCTCCACACAACACGGAACATGCGTGCACGCGTTATTACTGTTAAATACCGCCAGCCAGACTACATGTAAGTCTGACACCACTTCCATCAGCGTACAATACCATGCGGTTGTAGACCAGTCTGGCTGCGTCTCGCCGTTTACAAAATTCTCTCATTTCGCTTCTGTACCCCGACCTTTAAAATTTCTTTGCGGCAAGGTGCGGCAAGCTTTTAATAATTTCTTTTGATACCACTGTTTCAATAAAAGTCTGCACTTAGTTCTGGGTACGAGTGTACCAGTCCGTACCATTTTTATTTATAAAGTTATGAAAAAGACAGTTCGATTTTTCAAGTAGATTTTAATTCTACACGGTGTTTTAAATGAAAGTACCGGCTCACGCGGTAATGTTTGGGGCATTTCCTGCCTTTCCTGGGCACTTTTATCATTTCGTTAAAATTTCCTGTCTTTTTGGAACGCGTGTAAAAATTGGTACCACCAGAGTAGATGAGTCATGCTTGGCCCTGCCAAGTGTTTACAATTAACTAATGAGCGGATTAAGGGACACAATGGCTAAAGTCCAAGACGATGTCTATTGTGCATTTCTGCGGTTTGTTTGTAATGTTGTACCGCCTGGCACTGAGCCCGTTTGCGTGCCACTGCGTGCAAGTCCGTGCCAATGCGTGCCGATGCGTGCCGATGCGGGCCAGTGGGTTCAAAATCTCCTTTGTTCGAGCTTGCCTGCGTGCGCACGCGTGCGCACGGGGGCGCACGCAAATCGGAATTAATCCACGGGGCCTAAGGTGTTTGCACGTAAATGGCGGATAGTTTATTTTTACAAAATGGCCAACTGAACACCAGGAAATGTGATTGCATGATTTCTTGAAGACGTTAAGTGAGAAGGGTCTCAGCAGTGACAAGGCTGGTGGCGCTCTTTGTCTGAAGAGTTCCCCCTTAGAAATCCATTTGTTTCCCTTCCAACAGCTGTCTTGGCTGGAATAGCCTGCAATCGATGGGGATGTCGCACTACCTGGATACTTGGAGGATTCATGATGTTTGTATCCTCGCTGCTCAGTTTTTGGGCATTTCAACTATATCAGATGTACATCATTGGTGCCTTCTTGGGTAGGCTATTTGAAATTATTATCCCGAGTAAAGACAAAAAGAAAAGGAGCACGACGTAGCTCATTTTAATATAGATTGAACTTTCGCTGAAGACCTCACTTTACACATTATGTTGTTTTAAAAGAAAAAGGTGTTTTTATAAAATAATTAACAAATCCAGTCGGCCTCCAAAAAGGAAGCGGGCGGGGACGAGAAACACGTTTTTTCCCTTCGCCTTGTGTTTTATTTATTTCCCTCTTTTTGCAGGTACGGGTGTAGCACTGTGCTTTATATCCTCCAGTATCGCTGTAGCGCAATATTACAAGAAGTATTACGCCATAGCTATGGGTTTCACGACTGCAGGTACATCCTCGGGAATGATCGTGTTCCCGCCTCTGTTTCGCCTACTGCTTGATACTTACGGATGGAGGGGAACCATGCTTATTACGGCCGGACTATCTGCAAACATATGTGTAGTTGGCGCCTTTTACCATCCTCCCTATACAGAAAGGCGGAGAAGGATCAAACAACCTGAACCAGACGAGCAACTGGAAGTCAGCCAGACCGACAACGAATCAATTCGGATGGAAATACATCCTAAGTCACATGAGCATGCCGGCAGACTCGACCAAAAGAAGGGCAGATCTTTGCTGACACTCGCTTCAAGTCTGGCCTCAGAATTAGGACTGAATTTGGTGCGGAGGAGTTATCGATTTACTCTCTTCTGCTTGATTGGCATGCAATTCAATATTGCGTATTCATGCTTCGTGGTATTTCTGGTACCCCGGGCCCAGTTGTGTGGTATTGACGAGCAGAAGGCACCATTTCTACTCAGTCTGTTTGGATTTTGCGGTCTGGGTGCACGGGTTGGCTCGGGCTTCTTCGTTACCCGAAAGATACCTGTTGAGGTGACATACACAATCTCTATAATTCTGATTTGTGTTGCTGCATTATGTACTCAAGCCGAGACCTACGTAGCCTTCGCTGCGTCTGCCTGCATTGTTGGCGTAGGGACCGGAGCTAACAAAGCAATGTTCATGGTATTACTACGCAAGATCGTTGGGTTGTCCAACATGGCGTCAGGATGCGGCATATCGTACATGTTTGGCGGAATTGGGGATCTTTTAGGTCCAATTTTTGCAGGTGAGAGATTTCTGAGAGTTAGGCCTATATAATAATTCAAAATCAGCAATTACCTCTGGATAAGTCCCCGTAAGGGGAAGTATATGCGAATCACTTACCAGGGACGAAGTTTGATTGCGGTGAGCACCCCAAAGGCTGTGTGACTCAAGGTAACACACTTTGTATAGGGTGTACAAGAAAAGGTAATTCAAAAATATGTACAAGCTAATATGAACTTTAACACTGTAAAAGTGACTCCATCTTAAAGGGTATAGATCATTAGCTTTTCATTGATATCTTATCTTTTCAGTCATGGATGACCGAGCACCATTGATTTCAAACAAAGGCTAATAAACCTCTGTTTCCAAGATTGCTGAATAAGTGGCGAGTAAAGCTGTCGGATGATTGCGCTGTCGCTGGGGACAGTGCATTAAAAGGGGGTATGCTAGAGATGTTTGTGAATAAAATGGTACATTGTCCATGAATGATTTATCATTCCATTGTTTATCATCACAAAGCCAAATATGAAAAACATGCTGAGGGTGTTTGAGTATAAATGGAATATCATGTTCATGATTAGTGAATCATTTCAAAGTTTTTTTTTTGTTTACTCCTTAAAATAATAACTACCTAAAGCAAAAATTAACTCAAAACTTTGCTTAGGCATGGCTTTGGTTATGCCCATTGCAGGCCATGTTTTAATGATTTTTGGAATTCCATTGCTAATTTGTGATAAAAAAATCTTTGGAATGATAAGTTATTTGTGAAGAACATGATGTATATTGTACCATTTTAAACAACAGCACTGTGACATTCCCCTTTTAACGCACTGTCCACAGCTGCGACAGCGCATTCTTCCAACGGTTGCTTAACCATTTATTCAACAAACCTGGAAAAAAGGTGTTTGTTGGTCTTTGTTTTGTAATCAATGGTGCTCAGTCATAATGAGACTGAAGATATGCAAATAAGGTATCAATGGAAAGCTAATGCACTACTCTTTAATACTGATGTGCAAATCCGACCCGAAACCGAAACCGACCCGATCCGAAACCGACTTCGGGTCGGGTCGGGTCAGTTTGTCCATCTTTTCAGTCGGGTCGGGTCGGTTTCGGTTTTGCATTTCTATTTTCGGGTCGGATCGGGTCGGTTTAGCCATATTTTGAAAAAAACCGAAATAAACCGAAATAAATCGAAACAGTTTAGAAATTTAGGTGATGCAATATTATTGACAGTCACTGTGACCGCAGCCCATTGTGTGGGGTGGCCACCGAGCGCACTATCAAGCTCCCACGGTATTAATTTCTCCAGTCGGATCGGGACTGACAGTGAAATAGATACATTGTAACAGTTTTCATGATACCGCGTGATGATACCATGCGTTTGTTCAATAAGCGGAGTTATCTCTCGATCAAACAACTGAGTACGACAGAGAGAGAGGCGATGGTTTTGCGAAATAATTCATGTCACGTGGGTAAGGGCAGGCACAAAAAAGTGAACACTTTGTCCAAGCTACCTGGCTTGGACTTTTTGGGGTTTTTTCGTTTTTTTTCGGGTCGGGTCGGTTCGGGTCGGTTTTACCTTATTTTTTGTCGGGTCGGGTCGGGTCGGTTCAGAGGGAGTTAAGATAGGTTACGATTCGGATTCGGTTTATACCTCTAATGTTTCGGGTCGGTTTGGCCTGGTCAACCCCACCCGATGCACGTCATTACTCTTTAATATGGAGCCATCTGTAGACATTGTACAATTTCCAAACTAGTTTTCACCGTTGCCGAGACCGCAACCGAGACTGCAACATTACCAAGCCCGATTCTGTTCTTTAATCGGTCACATGATGACCATTCAAATGATGACCAGTCACATGATGACAAAATTTGAATCATGAGCGTCCTTCGTCAAACTGATTGGTTAATGTAAATGTTGCGTTCGGTGAAATCGGAGTGCTGCCCGCACACCTTTCCGATGACATAGGATACAGTGAAATCGGACACGAAAAAAGGAAACAAAAGTCATGTTTGATTTCATCTGGTCACCGGTGTGCGGTCAGATTGGCTTATTTGTGGGGTGAACCGGTTAAATCGGAAAAGTGTGCGGCGGGTTGCACGTACACTTTTCCGATTTTACCGGTAAAGCGGATCATCGGGCCAACGTATAGCCTATACAGAGGTGTGCGCTGAAAATTCGGACCAGATGAAACCAAACATGGTTGCTTTTTTCGCATCCGATTTCACCGGATCCAATGTCATCGGAAAGGTGTGCAGGCAGCACTCCGATTTCACCGGCCGTTAACCAATCAGATTTACGAAGGAAGTCAGATGAGTCAAAATTGACGATGACATTTTGTCATCGTGTTTTAGAGCGTAATCCAGCGTGTGTGCGGGTAATGTTGCGGTCCAACCGCAACGGTGAATAAAACCGTACCGGTTATGCTATGGGGTGATCCGGTGAACCGGTAAAATCGGAAGGTGTGCGCCGAGATTAAAGATTTGATAAAAACAACTTGGCAAATCTATTATGCCACTGATTATACATCTCTTCTCGTTTAAGGTATGCTGTACGACAAAACAGGAAACTTCACTGCTGTATTCTACGTCTTGGCTGGTCTGGTCGCTGCTTCCGCCCTGCAAATGTTGCTTTTGCCGTTGCTGGGGAAGATTGAGCCGGGTCTTAAAGAGAAGGAAGACCAGCCAGCGGAGGTTTAGCTGTTCTCTGACCCAGTCTTCTGTCTAGTCTTCAGTTGCATCAAGTACGTTGGCAAATGCTGGCAACAGACTTAGACGTAGATCTAGAAACTTTGTTCTGATATGCTAAGTTTTTTGCCTTTATACGAAACTACTGAAATCCAAAACAAAAAGCATTTATACAAATCAAGTTAATGACTGATTTGAAAAGATCGGTTGATTGATCCGCCCACTGTGTATCTGTAAGTCACGTAATTGTATGCCTCCAAAATGTCATTCTAATTGATGTTTTTTGTTCAAGTTGAAATGCACGTATATGGCCCATTTACCTAAATATAGTTCTTCGAAATGTCATTTGAATGGGTGTTTCGATGCCCTTTGGTTTTCCCGATGGAAATTACTATATTCATGAGCAAAACTGAGATATCTTCTTTAAACGAAGCACCGGTCTTGCAACTGCCTGAGCAGAAGAAAAACAGTGTTTTCGTTTTGGAGGTGGTCGACTCCCTCTGTTTTGGTGTAGGATAAGCACGAAGAAGGTTTTATGTAAAATGTGTCACATTGAGCCACATTTTTGGTTTATTATTATTATTATTATTATTATTTTGCATAAATTAGCCCGTAAGCTTGTATAGTAAAGTGCCACGTAATACATGTACCAGCAACAGCTCATTAGCGTCTTTAAGGAGATGGTTCGGAAGCCTAACCACAACGTACCGTGTTACCCAAGTAATACTCTTGTTAACACTTGACTTGAAATGAAAACCCTATTTGTGCTAGTGTGCTCCCAAATAATATCATAATAATATTGCAGCTTTTGATACATTTCTTTAAAGTGTTAAAACGTAGGACACTCTTTAATAACTTCCTTACACTGAATCGGTGTAATATGCAACTTTCCAAGTTATGAGGGCAACCTGTCAATCAAGTTGCAAAAGTTCGACTGGAGTTCGAGCAGGGATCGTTTTCACATTGCTGTGCAAGTGACGTCAAGACTAATTAGTAATTGGAAAATCGTGTTTGATCGAACTTTGTATGTGAGCTGATATTGTAACATATTATTTCAGAAAATCTTAATTCTGTTTCTGGAACCGTAAAGAATAATAACATGAAATGCACGTGTTTTGATGGGGCGATATTTTCATTTTTTTCCCGAAGAACCAAATGTCCGAAGCAGACAAGTACAATTTCTTTTGTGCTATCACTATCAATGGTGAAACAAGGGTATTTCAATGGAAAAGGGCAGTCTTTAGAAAATATTGGGGGGGGGGGTGGTAAATACGCCTATATATGCTAAAAGTAAAAAGGTCTTGCGGCGAGCGTCCGGAAACCTCAAGTATGGAACGCCAAAGTGGCCTTCGACAGTTCGATGGAATGATGAGTTTGCCGAATGAAATGAAGAGTGTGCCGAATGGAATGATGAGTCTGACGATCGAATGAAGAGTCTGATGAATGGAGTGATATTATTGAAGGCAGCTTTGGCGTTCCATATTCGCGCGGCTCGGCTATGGGCATTTCACATGGGGTTGCCCTTTCTCTTGCTATATTTTTTTGGCAAGATGATTTCTAGCCGTAACCACCTAAAGAAACATTCATGGTGGAATTTTATCTTGTATTCTTCAAACAAAAAATATGAAAATGTACATGGGGATGGGGTGAAACGAATTTTATTTACGACTTTTCACATCCTAAATTGTTCGTTCCTAGGTCTCATGAGAACGAGAATGTATATCGTTGCCAAGATTGATACCTATATATATACCAACAGCGGGATAGGTTCTAGATTTAGCTGAGCTGGCTTGAGCAGATCGTGGGTGCACCTTTCCATGATCAATTTGAGATCTGTTTCGTAACTACTCATGAGTTCTATAAGTATATGTTCACATAACTCAGAAACCTAAGGCATCGTGGTCTTCTATGTCAATTTCAGTTTCCACCTAATCACTACAAATTTCAGATTTTTCCATCTACGTACACCGATTTAGGGGTAGGCCCCTATGCTTCCTATGCTTGGATTTTCGGAAGTGAGAGGTCAATTTTTGGCACGATATTTCTCTGTCATGTCAAGCGATTTATCAATTTCCGCAAATTAATATGCTGGTCTTACGCAAAAAGCCTTTTTTTGGGGGGGGGGGGTGTTTTCCTTAAGAAATCAATAAACCAAATTAATTGCAAATTCAGGAACGTTTATACATTAAGTTTCCTATTCAAGGGTTCCGAAAAAGCGCGCCACCGCCGGGGCGGGGGGGGGGGGGGGGGAGGGGAGGAGGGTTGAACTTTCAGGCTCTATGGCACTGACTTTAGTGATAATGATAGACCAGTTGAAACGTGACTGACATTGGGATACAGGCAGGTCAGAGTCCACCCAAAAACAGTCCCAATGGCCGTCGAACTGTACTACACTATTGACAACACGAATGACATGTCACAACACGTACCGTCAAACTGATTGACCACCACCTTGAGAAGAGCTAAACGTCGTGTGAAGACAGCCCCGACAGCCTGGGGAAGAGTCATAGCAGTATCTTCCTTCATTGCCTTGTTTCTCTTAACTGTGGTAATACGTTGCACTGGAGTTCTGTATGTTAGCTGGCAAACTTCATTCGATTCAACCGCTGCACAGACTGGAGCAATCGCCAGCATTATCGCATCCACCTCGTATTGTGCATGTAAGTCATTTTAGCCCCTACACTGTTAAAAATGCCCGTAAATTTACGGACTCTGTAAAGTGAAATATTCCGTATTTTCGGCGTAATTTTACGGACTTTCCGTAAATTCAAATATTAACTATGCTAATTAGCGTGATTACAATCAACCACATCGGCCCGAACACCTACACATAATATAGTACATCTAAATACCTATTGTTATTTCACCCACAACCGTGTACACATGTCCAAACTCATGTTAAGGGTCTGTTTATTTTACGGAATGAAAAAACTTTTCCGGAAATTTTTCTGCCAGCAAGAAAATAGTGTTCCGTTTTCCTGCAGCAAAATTTCCGGAAAAGTTTTTTTCATTTTTTTCATTCCGTAAAATAAACAGACCCTTAACATGAGTTTGGACTTAACTTGTTTTGACTTTTTGGACCGAAACGGTTTGATTTTTTTTTTACCAAAAAGGCATTTATAAATGGGAAGAAATATGTGCTTGGCCGATATTAAACACTATGTTAAAGACCAGTTGGAGGCTGGATGCTGATAATAACCCTCGCCTTCGGCTCGGGAATTATCAGCATCCAAACTGTAACCGGTCTTAAACATGCACACATTATTCAATTAATATAACTCATCTCAAACTATTACAGCTATTAAACAACATCGCTAAACAGGATTTACTATAAGGTTAAGTGAACACAAGGAATGTTTATATGCATGTTAAATCAAAAAATTAAGGCTTATGATTCGCTGATTACGGGAGGGGTGAAAACCCACGAAAACCTCTTTGGGAGAAAACATCCTATGGCAACCAAGTGGTCAACTCCGTAGATCAGCACAGATTTAGATCTAAGAAATGAAGACAATGGAAATGCTCACATATTTGCAGGAATATAACTGACTGAAAGTTTTACGCAAACTCCAGATTTGAATGAGGTTATTAACCCTTCCCTGCACAAGTAAAATAAACCTCTTGAAACACAGCGTCAATGCAGGGTGAGTCAAAAAAAGCGGAACCCAAACCCCCAAAATTATTTTTCATATTAAAAAAACTATGTATAGCATCAACACTAATAATGACTGAAAAGTCAATTTCATAAGCTACTTTTAGATGAAAACGTTACTGAAATTCTCTATCCGTTCAAAGAATATCACCATTTAAATGAAATGACCCTAAAACCTTTTCGTCCACAAAAAAACCAAACAATTTATTGTGTATTCTTACTGTTGGCAACAACAAAGAAAATGACACAGAATACTTGTTTCAGCAACTGTCAACAACTGTAATACACAATATCTTTATTAACAACCCTGGTTAGGCAAACAATATGATTTACAAAATCCAATGTTTTTTAAAAGACGGGCCTTCAAAAGGACTATGTTGAATATTTTTAACTTTGAAAGTGATGTTTTATCGCTGGTGATATTCGAAGACAATTGTGACGACGACTCTTGACATCGCATTTTTGGACGAAAGAGGTTTTAGGGTCATTGTGTTTAGATGGTGATATTCTTTAAATGGATTAAGCAATTTCAGTAATTTTTGCACCTAAAAGTAGCTTATAAAATTGGCTTTCCAGTCATTATTATTTTTGGTGCTACATATTTTTTTAAACATGAACTATATAATTTTTGGGATTTGGAATTCCGCTTTTTTTGGACTCACCCAATTTTTTTTTGCATTTTTGAAAAATCTTAGATCTTCTCGTTTTGGATAATAATGAATGTTACTACAAGATTATCTCACATTGATATTTTGTATGTATGTATTTTGGTAGCCGTTTTTGCAGGTGTTGTTTGCAATCGCTACGGATGTCGTTTCACCTGTTTTCTGGGAGGCGTTCTGACATTCTTCCCAATATTAATGAGCTTCTGGGCTACCAGTCTGTGGTCAATGTACGCAGTAGCAGTTTTCACAGGTGGGCACCTTGTGTTGATTTCTTTTTAATTCCGTGCACCAACAACTGAAAAATAAAAATCATATTTGGAAACGCAATAATCTAGAATTTAAACAGACGTGAGTTAAGCGTTGCCTCCAGGTATATGACCGTTCGAGTATGCCCTTTGCAAGTTTTAGGTGATCAGGTTGTACCCGACCATCGTTTTGGAATGGTTATGATGTCTTTCGCCCTTTTTTTCTTTGTCTTCTGGACGATAACTCTCCGCGACTTTTCTTTTAAACGGTAAATATATGGTATACACATGAAACTTTGAACAAAGATCAACCCTGATCGCGAGGTGTGCATGTTACTCTGCGTTATGATGACGTCATCAGGTATCAAATTACAAGCGATTTAATTTGAAAAAGTTACCAACATCTTTCGCGTATATCTCTTGAACAAAAAAAACATGTTCATGCTTAATAATCATTAGAAAGATCATTCATTGTTGAAAAAATGTGTCGTGTACTTGAAGTGGCTAGACCTTTACTTTCGGGGCTACCGGAAGGTCAAAGTTAGGTGAATTAAAAATATAGACATATATCAAAACTAACCAAAATTTCTTCCAAACGGTTCATGGAATAATGAAACCTGGTACGAACTTGAGCCCTGATGGGAAAGTTTTTTTATTTTTTTTTGTGTGACGTCATCATGACGTCATCAGGTATTAAATTACGAGCGATTTAAGGTCAAAACCCTAACTTATCAAATGAATGGAGTATAGTACCGTTCTAATGCTTTGTTATGTGGTAATAGAGGCATTAATTGGCTCAGGCAATATTTCAGACACAGACATTTTACGTTTGCCTCGCTGTTACCCGGTGTGCACTGAGAAATGAAATATAACTTGAAAAATTAGACAAAACAAATTACGTAGATGTTAAGTGCAAAAACTGCATGACGACGTTATAGCCTAAAAGGGCGCCCCCTAGTTGCACGTCAAAGAAAGTTGAATTATTTCAATTCAAAATCCATTCGTCAAAATTTTACCACAATTAAGGCTGTGATATTCTTTGGACAACCGTGAGGTTTCAGGATCGAACCGTGACGTCATCAAACCGGATAAGGAGAATTTGAAAATGATTCTGTTTTTTTTTCCAATCAAATTCATCATTTTATTATTTCGTATCCAGTGGCGATGTTCGTGTTACAAACAATGGCACAAATAATGCTATCAGCTACATTGTTGCTGTGACGTCATGAACCGGAAGTAAGGTGCTATCAAAACATACATATATACTTCTTTTTCAGAAGTTCTTTTCTCTCTTGGTTGCATAATGTGCACTATTTGCAAAATGAAAATTGATTTAGTTAAGACATGATACATATTATGTATCATGCATGTCTGAACTAAATCAATTGAAAATATTTAGTTTATAGACATATTATTATGTATCATGTCTGAACTAAATCAATTTTCATTTGGCAATTTTTTTACCTGATGACGTCATCAAACCGGAAGTCAAGTTTAAATAAAATGAAACATATCAAACCCCAAACTGATGATTTTTTTTGTTACTTTAAAACAAATTGCTACACTGAAAAAGCTGAATTCGATTTTTCCCCCTAAAATATTTATAACTGAACTGGGCAATTAAGTTGCCTGCTCGATCACCCTGCGTTTGTGTCAAACCAAACGCGAATCTTTAGTTTTATTTAATTTAGGGTCCATTTTATCCATGCAATATGGAGGTAACTTCTTGGAGAATTGGTTCTTCCCGAGTTTTCTCTTGAATTTGGTCCCTCGTAACGCAGCTGCACAACAACCCACTAAACCTTCAATCGGTCAAACTTACAACAGATTGTGACTGAAACCTTCAAATATGTTTTGTCAATTTATAGGTGTTGGTACATCGCTGATTACTTCAAGAAATACTACGCAATAGTGAGTGGTCTTACAATGGCCGGTGTCAGCACCAATATGATCGTGTTTCCGCCTCTCTTACGCCTTCTTAACGATACATACGGATGGCGGGGAGCCATGCTTGTGACATCTGCAATTTGCGCAAACCTGTGTGTGGTAGGGGCATTGTACCGTCCCTTGCGTCACACAGCACGAAAATCAAAATCGTCTGGCAGTCTCGGCATCAGCCCGATCAGTGAAGAAAGTTCGAGCGAAAATTCTCCAGACTCACGCCGGCAATATGAACCTACCCCTAGTGACGGGAAGTGCATTGCCTCCATGGCTTTCTTTTGGCGTATGTTCTCAGCGTTACGACTTGGATTGCTGGTTAAGAGTTACCGGTTTTCTCTTCTTTGCTTGACCGGTATACAACTCCAAATGGCCTACTCCTGTGCATCCGTTTTTCTGGTGCCAAGGGCCATGTTTTCT